AAGGTGAATGTCTGTCGAGTAAAATTATCAAAATAGACGATTGTATTTCGGAAATTGAAATAGAACGCGAACCTGTAAAAGTCGAAGATCTCAATGTAGCACCCGATATTTCCGAAGATGAAAAAATAAAACTTTGTAATCTACTTAACAAATTTCGCCATGGTATAGCAATGAATATGAACGAATTAGGCTGTACAGATATTATCAAAATGGATATTTAGAAAAAATCAGATTCAATTCCTCCGTTTTCAAAACCGTATAAAGCAAGCGCGTCTCAAAGAGAAATTATAAATGACAAAGTTAAAGAGTGGAAAGCAGCTGGTTTAGCAAAAGATACAACGTCAGAATACGCGAGTCCTTGTATTTTAATTATCAAAGCGGACGGAACTATCAGGCTCGTTGTCGATTATAGAAGGCTAAATAAAAATACGATTCGGATGAATTTCCCCCTCTCTAATGTTGACGACGGAATTTAAGAACTGCATGACGCAAATATTTTTGCAATTCTTGACATGAAACAGGGCTACATGCAAATTCCCCTTACCGAAAACGCGAAAAGGAAGACAGCTTTTATTACCCTGGATGGTACCGGTCAGTTCGAAAGAGCGATGTTCGGGCTCATGAACGCCCCGTTTTATTTCGCAAAATTTATGAAAATTATCTTTAGCCCATATGGTCCAAAGTTAGCGCTCACATACTTTGATGACATTTTAGTACACGCGAAGTCTTGGGACGAACTATTGAAAAAAATCGAGAAAGTATTGACCTTGTTGTCAAATGCGAAATTGACCCTTAATTTAAACAAATGCAAATTCGGTTTACAAAAAGTCGATTATTTAGGTTACACATTCGGCAGAAACGGTATGAGTCCGGGAAACAAAACACTTAACGCGATCATGAATTTCCCTACTCCAAAAAATTTACACGAGGCTCGTCGATTTAATGGTCTCGCTAGTTTCTTTCGGCGATTCATTAAGAATTCGCAACTATTATGGCACCGATCACAGGACTTTTCAAAGATAACAAGGAATTTGTATGGGGAAATGAACAGAATTCCGCGTTTGAAAATATTAAACATCTAATGTCATCACAACCCATAGTCGCGTACTTTAACCCGAAAGCTAAGTCTACTGAACTCCATACAGACGCTTCATCAGCGGGGTTGGGAGCCATGCTTTTTGAGGAAGGTAACGACGGACTGTTACACTTAGTTTACGCGGTGAGCAGACGTACGACGGACGTGGAAAAGAACTATCATTCGAGCAAACTAGAGCTCATGGCTATAGTTTGGACAATGGAGCGACTTAAACAGTTTTTAATCGAGATTCCCTTCGACATTGTAACCGATTGCCAAGCATTAGTGCACGTAAATTCGTTAAAAACCAAGAGTCCTCAGATTGTTAGATGGCTAAATTCAATAGCTGACTTTAATTTCAATATTAAACACCGAAAAGGAGAACGCATGCAACATGTTGATGCGCTTTCTCGAGCACCAACCGAAAATGCGGAATACTCGATAGAAGACGGTTTAGTTTACAACGTTACAGTTAGAGAAGATGAGATTATGATGTATCAGCACACTGGCAGCGATTTATCCCGAAAAATTCGAATTTTAGAGAAACATAATAATGAAAGAACGCGTCGCGAAAAAGTCGAAATTTTAGATTATACCTTGAGAAACGGAATGCTATATAAAATAAGGAACAATAGGGAACTATACGTTGTTCTGAAAGCAATGCGTAAGGCAATTGTTATAAAAAATCACGACATATCGAGTCATTTTAGCGTAGAACGTACTCTGCATCGAATTTCCGAATTTTACTACTTTCCAAAGATGAGAAATTATGTAAAGCATCACATTTCCGTGTGCGTAGAATGTTTGTATGCAAAAAGAAAACCAGGAAAGCAATTCGGTGAATTGCACCCTATTCCACCAGGTCAGCGACCTGTTGCGACCTGTTGTTAACATTGACCATGTTGGTCCGTTTATATCGACGACAAGGAAGAATAAATATATTCTGGCGGCAATATGTAACCTTACGAAATTTGTCCAATTGTACGCTGTTCGTGACACAAAAAGTAATACGACAATAAAAAAATTAAATCAGTTTATCGAACGTTTTGGTGCACCCAAAAGGTTTATTTCAGATAGAGGCACCGCTTTTACCTCAAAAAATTTTCAGGAATTTTGCGACTAAACCAGTATTAAGCATACCTTAAATTCAAGCCGTCACCCACAGGCGAACGGGCAAGTGGAGAGACTGAACGGTACTATTTTACCAGCTCTCATTGCTAATCAAACCGACCCTGAAAATTGTCATTGGGACTTGGAACTGCCAAAATTAGAAAGAGACTTAAATTCTGCAATGTGTAAAACGACAGGTAAAACTCCATTCGAGTTACTATACGGGTACGTTCCAAGGTTCAAGGAGGGTTTAATAAGAAATTTAACGATAAATTCCAAATCTTATAGAATTCCTGAGGATTTGCGAGAGGAAGCAAGAAACAAAATCAAAGTAGAACAAGCGATTATAAAAGACCGGTATGATAAAGCTCGAATTAAAAACGTTAAGTTCGCGATTGGAGATATCGTCTTCGTTGCGTCAAACCCGAAGAGCACGGGTGAATCGACGAAACTCCAATCTCGAAACAAGGGTCCATTGGTGATAACGCAGATACTACCATCCGACACATATCGGATTCGAGGACTGTCTGCAAATGAAGGCAGTTACTCTACGACCGCGCACGTTAGTCAGCTTCGAATTTGGAAAAAATTTGAATCCGAAGACGAAACTGACTCCGATCTTAGCGATGATAATCAAAGTGTCAACGAAAGTGATGAATCTAATGTAACACGAATAACTAAACAAAAAGAAAATGCGAAAGAAGAAAACCTTGTAACAGATCAATGTAATACGCGAAGGACAAGGATGCCATCAAAATTGCTGAAGGACTACGTTCTATATTAGCTTGTTAATGTGCTTGGGGACCAAGCTCATTGTAGGATGGCCGAATGTTAGGCGAAGAATATCAGTTTGAATGTGAATTAGGCTTAAGGGTATGACTGATTGTAAACGAGTGTGAATGTGGATTAAGGTTTGAGGTCTAGCGAGACGACTGCTACAACCATGGAGTATAGACTTAAGGAGACCAATCTTATATGCATGTACTTCACTGAAAGGCGCAACATTTTGTCGGAAGTACATCAGTAGTACGTGTACATCCTGTAGATGGCAAACGATCGCATATATAGTCGCTTGATTAAGTCCTAACCGTCCTAACCTTATTTTTGCTGTATTTTGAAATTAAAAATAATTTCAAATAATACATAGGTAATATAAAATTATGACAATGAATTTTATTTTCATAAATAATAACATTCTTCGAAAACATTCAATTATTTTTAATACAATTTTTATAAAACTTCACTAAAGGATTCAATTTTAAAAAAACAAAGAAATTCTTCAAAAAATTTAATTATTTATAAAAGTTATAATAAAATTGATTAAAAGAGTTTAATGTTCTATCAATAATTTTAATAAAGTTTTAATAGGCACGTGGCCACTGAATAACATGACCTTTATAGTAAAATTAATTATTACTATAATTTGAGGTTATTAACATAACCTCAAACTAAAAAGTGATCTAACAATTATGACAAATAGTAGCTCATTCTGTTCTTTAAAACATTCTTTACAATTACATTTGTTAAATTTTGTTTAAAATATTTTGTTCAATAGTTAAGCAAATAAAATAAAAAAATTTTTTTTAAATAACTTTTGAACAAAATATTTTAAACAAAATTCAACGAGTGGAAATGTAGAGAATGTTTCAAAGAGTAGAATGAGCTATTATTTATCAAAATTGGTTACTGACCCTTAAAGAAAAAACACATAATGTTTAACAATTATGATTTTACATCAAATTTTGGTCCAACCTAATTTTTCCTGATAATTGTACAACTGGATCTTTCATAATTTGGTGAAATCATTTTATTTATGGTTTTATTTGCTGTTAAAAATCACTTTTTAGTTTGAGGTTATGTCAAGCGATCGACACTCCTGAATCAAAAAAATCTGTAAAAAGCACATTTTTTCACAAAAAAGTCGCACAATCCGAGCCCTGTAATATAAACTTTGTATTGTTATCTTATTATTATTATATTTATATTTATAATTTGAATATATAGTATATACATGAATTAGTAAACTTATAGAAATCCATGTTCATTTTAAAACTTCAGCTATCTATGCTATCGTTGCGCGCTATACGAGAAGATTCAGAACCATGAACTTCCGACATAAAATGGTTGATTTCATACACACTACATTGGTCTCCTTAAGTCTATACTCCCTGGCTACAACGAACGAAAGCAGAATATAAAGAGACGTGAAATAAGAAAGTCGAGAGCGACGAAAAAGCGTGTGCGCGGCCTAAGTGGCGTTTGATTTAATTCGAATTATTATTAATATATATTCTTTCTCTACAATTGACAGTGTTCACTTAAATATATTTCATCGTCTAATTTAAATAAACAATATTTTTTTAATCGTTTTCTATTATTCCTTGTGTTTTATTTAGAGGTTATCTGACACCCGTAGGAAATAATACATATTTCCTAACAATTGTTCAAATATTGGAGTATTATATAAAAATGTTTTAAATAAATTAACTCTCTTTCTTTGCATCGACAAACAAATTCTCAAAAATATGCATTTTTTCTCAAAATTAAACTTATCCCCCCCTAAGGGACTCCAATTCCCCCACCTTCACTTAATAATATAATAATTTAGAAATAGTGATAAAGAGTTTGAAAGTATTTAAATTTGTAAGTAATTAATTTAAAGTTAAAAAATAATCATGTAATCATTTATAATTAAAGTAATTAACTAATTCATAATTTTCATTACTTAAATTATGTAGATATGTAGGATATATAAATTAATAATGGTAATATAATAAATTGAATATATAATTAATATTTAAACACTTTCTTTTAGGCTCCGAGCATTTGTTGGTATGCTTTTTCTTTGTATTGTTTTCCTTGTTGGATTTGCTTACGCTTACTACAACACACATGTTCTTCAGAGGGCCTATTTTGACAGATTCAGGTAATAAAAGTTTTACGTAGTATTTTAACTATCCTCCAAGTGTTATTTAATAGTTTAAAATAGAGGTTGTTTATACAGCAGAGAGTAAAAAGTAGGGAAGGGCAAATTTAGCTGTAGAAACAGGAATAGTTAAATTTGCGCCTGCATAAAAGTTTTTCATTTTAACTTTTCCTGTTTCTTCAACTTCATTCGCCCTTCTCTACTTTACCCTTTTACGGTATAAACAGCCTCATAATTAAAAAGAAAAGTTATTTAAAAAACAATTTTCTGTTGAAATTATCTTTGAAGGATCATTGGGTACATTCATTAAGGGGGTCACCCCGTGTGGCAGACGTTTTTTAAGAGTTTTTTGGGGATTTTCTTTTTAAGAACCATGAAAACTTAGGACTTTAAAATTTTAATTTGTTGTTAAAATGGAACTCCATTTTAACAACAAATTAAAATTTTTGCAAGTAAAAATATTTTACTGATTCCGAATTATAAAACGGGAAAGTGATGATGATTATAAAAACGCCGTCTATCGGCGTCCACGATACTGACTAATTGACTAAACTAAAATCGAAAAATCAAAAGGCATCTTAATCTGTGAGGATGTGGCTATCGCCGGAACTAGGATTATTTGAAAATATGTGAATTTTCGATTTTGTATTTGTAATCAAGTTTTCTATATTATTTAATGTTCTAAAAAATCGAAAGGGATAGTGGTTATAACATTAGACGTAAATATTTTTTTAATGGCAGACAGCTTTTTGGCAGAATATGATCACTATTGTTTGGTTTTCGTTTAACTTTATTTTTTTAAATAACTAAACTTTTTACTTTTTTTGTGTAAATGTTAAGATGCGTTTATATAAATAAATATTAATTCTAGTGCGTTGACAACAAACTTTTTTTGTTTTTATACAAAAAATGAGAGAAGATTGGTTACGGTACTTCAGGACAGTAGGGGACATTTGAAAAAGAAACAGTATATAAAAAAGACCCGTGTGGAAAAAGCCACGTTCGAGCCCCACAGCTCCGAGGCCCCCGTTGGGGGCCCTCGTGGAAGATCCATGAGAAGAAATCCACGAGGGCACCAGCAGGACCCCTGCTCTTAGCCATTATGAATGCCCTGCTCAACAATTTTTCTAAGTCCAAACAACGAATATTTTTTACAACAAAAAATTATTGTTTACAATCATTTTAAACAATGAAAAACAAGTTTTTAACAAATATTTAATGTTGCTTTTTAAAAAATATAAAACTTACATGAGGGCAAATCCTTGAGGGCCCACGCGAGGGGCCCTCATGGATTGGCCACATCATTACCTAGAAAAAATTTCTAAGTCCAAAAAAAAAATTTTTTTTACATCAACAAATTATTGTTTATAATGATTTTAAACAATGAAAAACACGTTTTTCACAAATATTTAATGTTACTTTTTTTGAAAATAATGAACTTACCTAAGGGCAAATCCTTGAGGGCCCACGCGAGAGGCCCTCATGGATTGCCCACATCATTAACTACAATAAAGCAATAATTTTCAAGTAGGTCCCGTAGCATAGTGGTAAGATTGTTGTCTGGTAGTCAGTAGGTCGTAGGCTCAATTCCCGCGTGCGTCAGATTTTTTTTTTTTTTGGTCACGATTTAATTAAAAAAAGTAAAAATTGTTAAATAAGAATGTTATTTATCAATAATTGGACTAATTTGTTATTAATAAATTATTAATTTATTAATTTAATTAAAAAAAAATTGAGGGCATTTTATGAAATCCACGAGGGCACCGCGTGGAAAATCCATATGGAATCCATGAGGATTTTCCTCGAGGGCACCCATGAGGGAAAGCATGTCACGCCTTCGAGGACTCCGCGTGGATTACCCCTACGGATTCCACATAGCAAGAGGGCAATCCACGAGGGCCCCGCCGGGGGCCCTCACCATTTTTCTGCACGGTGAACAAATATTATATTAAGAATATCTATACTATATTCATATAAATAACTTCTTATCATATAAAACCAAGTTCCTGTTTTTTATACATTGAATTTAAAAACTCTTACCCACATAATAAGAATAAAGCTATTATACGGGACAGTAGAGGACATTTAATACACGGGGACAGTAGGGGACATTTTGCTCTTTTCTTGATTCACAACATAAGTATATTATTTAGAAAGCAATGGAAGCTGTCAGATTTCTTAAAGAATTGAAACTTTTTGCTAATAATTGACTTATAAGAGATATATAAAGTATTTACTTACCATTTTACAGATGGGACAGTAGTAGACAACTATGTTACAACCGTTAATAAATTATTTTTCTGCTCCACTTTATAATTTGTAGGATAGAGACCAGAACATTCTGATTGCTTTGATGTTTTGAGGTTATTCATTTATTATTGTAGCATCGGTAAAACAGTGAGTAAAGCGCGTAACCTATTCGTAGTGAGTGTGCAAAAATGAATTCATTTTGGCAGAATATAAAATATGAAAATAAGTGACATGTTTTTAATCATTTCTTAAAATGATATTCTTGAATTTTATATGAAGTAATTAATGAATTTTAAAATATAAGATTTAGAGATTATAAAGAATTTTTGCTTAAATCTAATACAAAAGAATGTATATATATTAATTATTAGAGGCAATGTAGTGCAAGTGCCTCGAGGACAGGGACAGTAGGGGACATTTAGTCTGCTTTTCAGTCTGTCATTTCGTTTTAAAGCGACCTCAAAGTTCTTCTATAAGTTAATAAAAAATTAGAGTATGTTAGATATTAATCAAATAAACCAAACAATATTCATATGCTAGCTAAAAACTTTTTTTTTACCAAGGGACATAGATTTTACATTTTAAATGAAATGAGCCATACACGCAACTGGGCAGTTCCATACAAAAAGAAAAATGGTGGATCACCGATTTTTTTTAAAGTTTGTAATTTTGTAGTACTTTGGGTACTAAATAACTGTGCCAAACAGTTTTGCAAAAAAAAAATTTTTGCAAGATATTTAGATTTGAAAAATCGTAAACTGAAAAAAATGACTATTTTTAGAATTTTTATTTCAAAAACTATTGATTCTACGAAAAAAGTCATTTATTCAAAATTGTAGAGAAAATGTCAATTTTTTATAATATTAAAAAAAAGTTAAGAAAAATAAAATTTTCAATAATTTGTTTAAACAATAATTTTTTATTGTTAAAAAATATGCTAGGGACATCATGAAATATCCTAAAAAAATTATTTTTTCAAAATTTAAACCTTCTTTAATAAGTGGTTACATTTTTAAAGAAGTGGTTTTTGATGTTTTTGAGAAAAACATTTCTGAAGTTTGCGCTACGAGTTTTTGTGCGTTGCGCTAACTAAGCAGCGCCTATAGGGGCCGTTCAAAAAATACGTAATGCTTTAGGGGGAAGGGGGTGGTCAGCAAAAAAAATAGCGTTAATGTATACAACATTGCGTTAGATTGGGGAGGGGGGGTCCAAATTTCCGAAAAATAGCGTTACGTATTTCTTGAACGGCCCCATATCAGTGTATTTTAAAAGATGATATTGACCATTACTGCTCGTATATATTATATTATATCGTATATATATTATTATAAACAGTTTAACAATATATTTTTAACTTTTTTATAAACATTATTTTCCTCTTTTATTGTAAAAAATCTTTTCCTCCACACTTTACCCAGGCTTATATTTCTAATTTTTAAATTTTATGGTCTTCAATGGAACAAAAGTCAAACGTTATTGTGTCAAATTTATTTTCTACTAATTGAAAAAATGCTTTAAGGAAAAGATTTTTTATATTAACCCATTGATGCCTATAAGCAAAGGAATGCAGATATAGTAAAAGTAACTATTGGGATCCTGGCATGGGATCTAATGATAATTTTTGTCGTTGAATGCTAAAAAAATATTTTTTTAACAATTTTTTATAAATAAATGAAGAAAAATTGATTTTTATAAGAAACTTATAGCGCTATTTTATTCTACGCTAAAAACCACTATGAAAACACATGTGACGCTCCACGAGAAAAGGGACCTTATTTACTCTTGTCATAAGGTCCCTTTTCTCGTGGAGCGTCAGCGTCACATATCACGGTGGTCTTGAACAGTGCCGAAAAAATAATAAAAGTACCCGGAAACTGTTTGAAATTATCGTTCCCTTAAGCATTCTAGATACCGAAAATTGTCAAAAGAAAATAATTACCTGAGCCAATTTTTTTTAATGCAAAAAAAACAATTTTTTTAAGAGTAAACGAATGATTATTTATTAGAGCTGTGCAAAATAATTCGAACCGAACTGTTCGAATTTTTTCGCCTAGTTCGAATGTCGAAAATTCGACATTCGAGTTAGCTTAGTTCGAATGTTCGGTTTTTTTTAAAAATAGGCAAAGTAGAAATCACAATTGAATTGAAAATTTTTAGTTCGGTAATTTATGGAAATTTTTGCGGTAATTTATAAAAATTTTCGTGGTGATTTATGGAATTTTATTTAAGTAATTTATGGTAAACTTTCCTGAGCTATAGGTTTTTTTTATTCCTTATATATGTGGCACCATAACACTACATTTGCACTAGGTTCTTCGTAATTCGAAGGTCGGTGGAAATTCTGAGGTCGGTGTAAACTCAGGCTGGTGGGAACTTTTTCAACCGACTTTGGATATTTTAATTTTTTGAAAAAAGTATCATTAATTTTCAATCGGTTTAAAGTGGATCTCATTCGTATTGACCAAAACAATATAACTACGCTTTATTTAACCTTTTTTATAAATAATTGTTTAATTTGTGGTAAAATATTTAAGGGTCGGTGGAGGTCGGTGGAGATTATTTTGTGATTCCCTTATCAAATTTCCAACTTAAAATGAGTGAAAAATGAATAAATCAATTAGAACATTGATTCTTTTTCCTGAATTAACTTAAGGAAGTTATTTTTTGTGTTTACAAAAGTAATTTTAAGTTAACATTTGATTTTCATTTAAATAATTCACTGTTTGTTAATAAAATAATGAATAGCATCA